TTCTCTTCCACTCTTCTCTCGGGATCTTGGGTATCCATGCACACAAGCCTGGCCTGAGTTTAAGCCACTGGGTCCAGGACTCGAACTGCAGTCAACTACTTGAGAGTCCAGCAACATAGCCATTACACCAATTGCTGGTCCCATATCTGATATTTAAATGTGTTATATAACTATGATAAGTAATGAAAGAGAGAGAAACTGAACAGCTTGTACATCCAGAAAACTATATAATAACTTACTATTCCAAAAACATATTACATGCTAGTGAGAAAATAATTTTTTTTGTTTTTGTTTTGTTTTGTTTGTTTTGTAATAGGGCACATACCCTCACCAGAGAGAGATAGAGAGAGAGAAAAAGTGAGAAATCACTCCCAAGGAGGAATGGCTATGCTGCAATTCCTATTCTTCCCTTCTCCTTTTCAGATTTTTGGGAACATACACTTGGAATGATTTGCAAGCCTCTAGGTCTGGCGCTTGAACCATCCAGTTGGTCATGTGGAATCCAGAACCTAAATACATCCATTCTATCTGGTGGTCCTGCCGCCTGCTGGTCCCAAGAATTTGAGTTTTTAATAAATATGTATATATATAGAGAGAGTCAAGTAATTAAAAAAATTTATGTAAAGCAGATCCTGAGGCAAAGATTTATGGGATTCCAAAAGTCAAATGATGCCCCTTTAATAGAGAGCCTAATTCCTGAAAAGAGTGAAGGAGTGAAGGAAAGGGGAATGGGCAAGAAAGGGGAAAGCCAATGAAGGATATAAGTGGATTATTGAGTTGACTGTTTCACCTCAGAAGATCATCTCCTAAGAGAAGAAAAACAATTGCTTCTAATGACACTGCATCTGGAGTCAGATAGACAGATGAACTAATCTTAAGCCCTATGTCTATCATTGCTTGCTCCACAATGCGTTGCAAATGGATTAAGTACTTCCAGAACTCCATCTCTCTACACATCATTACACACACAGGAACAGTGACCCTTCACATTACTGTACCAATAGGAAAGCCTTAGGGTAAGAGACATGTGGTCTGTGTTATGAAGTTGGTCACAGTCTACTTCTATTTGGTCTTGATAATAGTCTTTGGGGCTGAAACAAGAGAAACCAATGAGACAGAATAGTACAGTTAGAATAATTGTGAGGTGGTGCATATCTGGGACAAATACCTTGACTTTTGGGTGAGAAAGGGGCATCAACTTAAATATATAGTGATATTCTACCCAAAATAAATGCCAGTGGATTGGAAGACTAAATATAGTTAGAACTATTAAACAGAAAATATATTAGTAAATTGGACCTTTGCAATCTGCAAATTAAAAATAATTTGAAACACATTCATTATTTCTAAAAAAAGCATCTAAACACTTGAAAGAGACTGCAAAAGAAAATGTGAAGGAAACTACAATCTCTATGGTGCACTAAGGGATGTATTAAGGAATTTGTAAGCGTCTTTCCTTCACTGTCACCTAGCACATTATTTTTCCTGTTTTCCTTCTGTATTTTTCAATTGTTTTCTCTTGGTTTCCTCCAAGGGTTCTCTTAATAATCTTATCCATAATCCAGAATTCAATTATCTATAGATCATTAACCTTCAAATCTATTTTGTAAATTTTGATTTCTTTTGAGTTTTGCATCAATATTTCTACCACCAACTAGATATGTCCATTTTGTTGTCTTATAGGCATAACAAACTTGATGGGGTCAAATCCGAAATCAATAGCTCCTTTCTCAGAATAGATCTTTTTTCTTTCTGTCTGCCTGAATTTTAGAATGACCATCCAAAGCATGATTAAAAGTAGAAATTTTAAGAGTTCTTTGACACTCCATTCTTGTGGGAGGCTGTGCACCAGCGAATATTGCTGGTTTCTCAGAAAGCAAACAATTACACAATGCCAAAAGCCATGATTGGCTTCCCTTCAAAACTTGACCTTTGAAGCCTTGCTCTGATTGGCCACTAGAATCCCTCAGATTTGCATATCTGGCACCTCATGATTGATCCAAAAGCAACCAATCATAACCCACCTTTTACAACCAATCATGGCCCACCGTTTACATCCAATCACAACCCACCAGCGTGTATATAACTACGATGCCTGGCCCACAGTAGCCAGAAGACGACCTGGAAGACAACACAGATGACCAGGAAGACAATGACGACCCTGGAGAGCCTGAAGAGCTGAAATACCGCACAGTCTCCAGACAACCCTGAAGACCCTGAAGAGTTGTAACACTACATCGTCTCTGGATGACCCTGAAGAGTTGTAACACTGCGTCGTCTCTGTGCTGTACCTTGCTGCCCACAATAAACAGATGACACTGAAGACACTGCGTTGTCTCCATGTTGTAACACTGTGCCGCTTGTCCCGGCTCTCACTCCTTCCCTCAGGAAACCTATTCGACTGTCCCCCCCAGCCCCCACCCCCCGGGGTGGGACACCTTCTCCTCTCCCTTTCTCTTATTCAACAAGCAAGCTTTTCTCTTGAGTTCTTCCTGTCTCTCAAATATGGCCTGCTTTTTTTGTGTGTGTTTGTTTTGTTTGGTTTGGTTTTTCAATTTCACTGCAACTGCCTTACTTCAGAAACTCAGGAGCACTCTCATCTGAAATATTGCAATAACTTCCCATCTGTTCTTTCTCTTACCTGGTTCCCATCGCTATAATCTCTTTACCCAATTCCTGCCAAGTGATCTTCCTGAAAGCATTTTTAATTGATTGTCTCCCTGTTCTGCCTTAAAATTATTTTATTTTTTTCTTCTCACTCCTCACAGTTTGATTGTAGCTTTTTTTTATAATGACATTTTTTTTTAGATCTCAAGCTTACTTAGAAGACATGATGTAACTCTCAACCCCTTGTATCACTCCATTTGGGCTTATATTAAACATGTAGATCCGTTTTGCAATTCATCATGTGTCTGAAAATTCCAGACTGTGTGTTTCTTCACAATAGGAACTTCAGCATTTTTGTATTTTTATGTCACAGAGCATGATACATTATCTGTTACGGAATAAGAGTTCAAAAGTGGCTGCTACAGAATGTATGTATGAAAGACAGGGGCTGCTAAATTAGCATCTGCCAAAATACATTTAATTAGTGTGTTAAATAATATAATATCAAAATGCAATTTTAAAGAAAAACAAGTCTGACATTTTAGGCAAAAAATAAACATTTTTTTTTAACTTGGAATACTCCTCAGAATGATTAATATTTCGTAACGTGTATTCTGACTTCTTTTAAGCAGTATCACATAAAACATTAACAATTTTTTGACTACTGAACCAATTTTTCAAATGAGTAGTAATAATTTTTGAGAAAATTATTTTATAAATGAATTAATTAATTCACAGTATGACTGTAACAAAGAGCTTCCTCTTCATGTATATCTTTATTCTTTAAGATACATATATGACCCAAAGGTATAGTTTTTTCCTAACTAAATGCAGGGTATCTTGCAAGGCAAGTAAAAGCAACTAGGTAAAATTTCTTTTCCAATGCAGTTCCAAACAAGTATTATGAATGATGTCCTATTCAACATAACAGCAGCAATAATAATTAAATAAAATCTCATGCAAATTTTCTGGATTATAGTCACACCCAAAAGAAAATATTGCTTCAAGTCCTTGGAATTTCAGGGCAATACTGATAACAGAAGACAGGCACATTGATTATTATCATGTATATAATAAAGCAAACAACCCAAGGAAATAATGATAACTTTTATTATTAGGTTCTTTCAGCAGAAACACAAAATACTCTCAAATTTTGCTAGGTATTAGGAACCAGCAGTTAGCGTAATGGCTATGTCGCTGGACTCCCACGTAGTCGACCGCGGTTCAAGTCCCGGAACTGGTGGCTTAAAACTCATGCCGGGCGCGTATGCATGTGTGCCCAGGATCCCGAGAGGAGAATGGAGGAGAAGGGATTGCGGCATGACCATCCTCCCTGGGGAGTGATTTCTCGCTTTCTGTCTCTGTCTCTCTCTGTCTGTCTGGCGAGCACATGCGCCCTATAGCGAAAACCTCTCAAAAAAAAATTTTACTAGGTATAATAATTTGCTATATTTATTAAAAGTGGCAAGTCCTGATTTTATTAATCGTATTGATTATACAAATACACTGTTATGTATTGATAGATAATACGTTTATACACCTTGCCTTCAATTATACCAGTCTGTTGAGAGGTTGTACAGAAGAAAGAAAACAAGCAGGGTATGATGGCTAATTCTACATTCAACTGTGCTCAAATTTGTGGTCAGCCATTACTCTGGTTGTTTTTGAGGGTGTTTTGGATAAAATTTACATTTAAATTGGTGGACTTCAGTAAAGCAGATTGCTTTCCATAAGGTGAGTGGGCCTCATCCAATCAGTTGAAGGCCTGAATTTTTAAAAAGGACTGACCTCTTCTGAGCAAGAAGAAATTCTCCAACAGATTTGTTTTTCAATTTTATCTACAACCCTGGCTCCTCATTTGCCGTCCCACCCTGGGTTATAAACTTCCTATTGATTGGTTTGCCTGCAGTCTATAATCTGGTTATTTCCACTTTATTCTTCTACCCATGCACCCCATCATGTACCTCCTTAAGTGAACCAGACTCCCTCTTTTGAACATCAGAGATAAAACTGAGGAAGTGAAGTTAATCTCTACTAGGGCACCTGTACAATTTTTAGATATTTATAATATGATTTCTAGATATTTATAATATGAAGCTAGGGTTGAGCCTTGTGTACTACGTTAAGATCAGTGGGGTTCTTTTGTTTTGCATTCTAGGAGTCATGGGAAGCCACTAAAAGCTCTTGAATAAAAGAGTGCTATTATGAGGGTTGAGTTTTCTGTTCTTCTGGTAACTGGAAGAGAATGAATTGAGTGTGCAGGCAGGGTGAGGGCAAGTGTAGACATAAGAAGATTAGGTGACTTTGCAGAGGGAAAATACTGAAGAAAAAAAAAAAACTGGTGCATTTGAGGAGACGACATTGTCAGAAAATTATCAATTGAGGTCTGCTGCAGCTTCGCGAGTGGGAGTACCAGGAGTCGGGCTCGGAGCGAGACGCCGCAGACCGTTTCAAGAAAATGGCAGACAAACCAGACATGGGGGAAATTGCCAGCTTCGATAAGGCCAAGCTGAAGAAGACGGAGGCGCAGGAGAAGAACACTCTGCCTACAAAAGAGACCATTGAGCAGGAGAAGCGGAGTGAAATTTCCTAAGCACCTGGAGGATTCCCCGCCCTGTCATCTTTGAACCCCCAGTGGTGACGTGGAGGAAGAGCCACCTGCAAGATGGACAGGAGCCATAAGCTGCACTGTGAACAACCCCCCCCCCCCAAAGGGCTTCCACAACGATATCATTGGCCTGTGGGTCTTTGAGGAGACTCCCCTCCTCCCAAAGGACTGCCAAATTCTCCAGTGTGCCCTGGGGTATTATATAGAAAATTATTTGTATGATTAACGAAAATAAAGATTAACGAAAATAAAACACACCTCGTGGCATGGCTGGTAAAAAAAAAAAAAAGAAAAAAGAAAATTATCAATTGATTGGACATCAAAAAGAATGAGGGAATCAGAACTGATTTCTACATTTCAACAAGCAACAGATAATGGCTACAACATGATGACATTTATTCAACAGAAAGAGCAATGAAGATAAATTCTGACCTCCATTTGAGGCCTTTGAATGTGAAATGTGAGCAGCTGAGCTGTGCATCTCTTGACTATATATACAGATTTAACAGTATCAGCCTGATAGGCTGAGTATACTTTTCTTTGATTAGCAAATACACAGTTTCCAAGAACTATAAATTAGTACAGAGAAGAGATGAGGCTAAATTAGAAAGGGTGAAATGTCGCAATGGGGTGAAATATTGTGTGTGTGTGTGTGTGTGTGTGTGTGTGCGTGCACACATGCATGTGTGTGTTTGTTTTACTTATTTAAAGTAAAGATGTGTCTCTTTTAAGTATATTTATGGTTGTGCATTGACTGCTCTCAGGAAAAAAACTAAATCAATACAATTTCTAAATAATTCTTCAATGCAGTCTTTTTTCTTTTCTAGTTTGCTCAGAACTTAAGGAAGGACACAATTAACAAGCAGTTATTACTAAAACTAGAAATAAACAATTCAAGTCATTTTTATAAAAATTGATAAATATTTAAGATATCAATAAGTTCATATATACCAACAGGAATTATTTTTGATGTATTGGATGTGTTTAAATATCCTCTAACCAGTCAAGAAGACTGATTTTCTTAACTCTAAGGTTTTATATATAGTGAATATGAAAACAGTAGCTACGGCATCATAGCATTATGAGTGACTGAGTAACATTACACCAAGAGTTTTCCAGAAGTTATCAACAGTACATTTCCTAGAAAATAGAGTTTCCCAATGAAATGAATATTTTCTTATGGCTTCACAGATTCAGGTATGGGCCCAGTAATCATTCGTCCATAGAGTTGATAGCTTTGAATGTAGATAGTTAGTAGATGGCAACCAAAGACATGGTCTTCAGCTAACACATTCTCCCAGAAGATACTTTAAATAAAGAAAAAACAAAAACAGAAAAGCAACTCACAGACTATTGTTGTAGTAGCAACAAATAAGAAATAAAACAACACACACAAAGAAATGGTTATGAATATAAGACAAGTAATTTATAGTTGGGAAGTTTATTTCTTCTATGTCAAAAAGCTAGTAGGTTTGATAACCACGTTTTTAAAAAACAGCAACTTATAGTTACTTGTTATATTAGAAAAGTTCAGACCAATAATAAAGATCACCAGTGAGATAGATGGAAAAAGACCAAAGGGAGGGCTTTCTACTCACAACTATCAAGCCATTTGAATTTTTTAAACAATAAATCTTTTTGAGATCTTTAGACTTGACTATAGCCATTAAGACCTCCTTGTAGAAGGCTTGAACCAGGGCAGTCATTTATCTAGGATGCACAGGTTAGCAACATCAGTTGACAATACATCTTTTCATTTGGCTGGAGGCACCATGATTGGGAGAAGCTCACAGCATAGCAGCTAAACACTTTGAGTATCTCTCTCGGCCTACCTAAAGCTGTTATTGGCTAAAGTCTGAAGGAATAGATACACCTTATCAAAGGGAAATGGGTAATCCAAAATGATACATGGTAGGAAAAGCATTCATATTTGGCTTTGAAATATATTTTTGTACTAACATTTGAATGTGTGATTGATGTTCTGAGAAATTACTTCAAAGAGATTAATGAAGCCATACTGTGAAGACCTGACGCAGGAGAGCTGGGAAATTGTCCAGCATTCTCTTCATTCTGCTTCCCTGCCGAACTCCTCTTTGACACCCACTCTTTGACACCACAAGGAATAACTAAAATATCTTTTAGAATAATGTTAGTCCTTCCTCATAGAATGAGAGGCAGGAATTTGAGAACCACAGCTTTTTTTTTTTCTTTTAATTTTTTAAAGCAGGCAATGTGGATTTTTTTAAAAAAGTACTTATCTATTTTTGTTGATTATATCTTCAGTATGCATTTTCTTTTCATCCTTTTACAGCAGTCCCTGGTTTTCACAGATCCTAGTTCTTTCAGGAAAATTGGCTCTCCTCCTAGCTTCAGGTATAATGTGATCTGGGCATCCTCTAAACCTCAGGTGTGGAAAATGGAACCTTGGCTCAGTACATCCCATTCCCTTCAACACAGTCATTTGGTTCAGACCTGAACATTCATTCTAAACTGAAGCAATAACAGTAAGCCTTGGTATTATTAACATGTTGCCAGTAAGCACTATTTCTTCAAATGATGTCGTATTTCACAATAAGGTCTACATCTGCTGCGATCACTTTAATAAAGTCAATGTGATGATAAGCCAATATATGAAGATGTACAGAGCTGAGAGATACCAAGGTGGACCTCTCATGATACTGCAAATCTTTAGATCTAATCATACCAAAGTCCCTGTCCCTGCTTTTCCACCAATATATACACACAACCAAAATTTTCCCTCATTTTTTGAGCCAATTAAAGATAGGCTTTCTGTTATTTGCAACGTAATGCCTCCTAATTGAAACAGTAAGTCAACAAACAGGTAATCAAACTAATTAGGAACTGTCAATTATGTTAAAGTATAAATGCTGCCAATTGATATGAAAGAAAATTTTACCCTAGTCAATCACAAGATGATAGACACATGTGCCCCCTCTCTCAGCACACTTGCTCACACACACACACACACACACACACACACACACATGCACACACATCATTAATCTATATTGTCTACTATATTTTAACAGCTGAACTACAAATTTTCAAATAATATAGGATACAAATGTAGAAAAGTAATGTCTATGTTGTCAGCTAAGGTACACTTTACTCTGCAGAAGTAGCCTTCAAGAAAGTTAATGCAGGGAACCAGCAGTTAGCATAATGGCTATGTTGCTGGACTCCCACATAGTCGACCGCGGTTCGCGTCCTGGACCCAGTGGCTTAAAAACTCACGCCGGGCGTGTGTGCGTGCGTGCCCAAGATCCCGAGAGGAGAATGGAGGAGAAGGGATTGCGGCGTGACCATCCTCCCTGGGGGGTGATTTCTCGCTTTCTGTCTCTTTGTCTCTCTCTGTCTGTCTGGCGAACGCATGCTCCCTATAGAGAAAAAAAAAAAAAAAAAAAAAACTCTCCAAAAAATAAAAAAAGAAAGTTAGTTAAAATGCATACCAGATATCAGGATATCCAGCTCCAAAAGTTACAGTAGATCAAGCTTCTGTGCTTTAATCATAAGTAGATAGGTTGCATCTTATACAATGAAGTGAACACATTTTTATTTAGAAGAAAAATAACTAGAAATAGCATTAACAATAAATGAAAATAGAAATCAAATGCTGTGAATTCGACTTTATGTAATAATAAATCTGATATTAGATTGTCATTTTTGTCAGTATTTTTAAATACTCAAATAAGGGTCTTATGTTTTTTCTAGATATTTCCTTTGTTATATTACAAATTAAAGATTTTCTTACATATGTTCGAACCAAAGGCAAAAATAAGAGAATAGTGGGACCAGGAGGTGGCATGGTGGTCAAAATGTTGAATTCCATCATGGCCAACCACTGTTTGAGTCCCAGACTGGGCTTCCCTAAAAATCATGCCCGGTGTGCATGTGTGCCCAAAATCCCAAGAGGAGAATGAAAGAGAAATGCTTGCATCATGACCATCCTCCCTAGGGGACAATTTCTCACTTTCCTTCTTTCTCTCTCTCTCTTTCTCTCTCTCTCTATCTCTCTCTCTCTCTCAGTATCTGTTAAGTGCACAAGCCCTATGACAAAAATCTAACAAAAAAATTTTTAATAAAAAATAAAAGAATAGTCAGCAAAGTAAATAACATGAAAACAGTGCTTTGTCATCTTTTGAAGTATGATGACAAGTAAAAATATATAATGAATATTTCCTCCAAAATTTTGGAACAATAGTTTCTTTGACCTTTGATCCAGGGTTTGCACAAAAACAAACTGACCAAATAAAATCTCATCTACAGGACCAGCAGCAGTTAGCATAATGGCTATGTCGCTGGACTCCCATGTAGCAAACTATGGTTAGAGTCGCCAACCCAGTGGCATAAACTCATGCCGGGTGCATGTGTGTGCATGCCCAAGATCCTGAGAGAGATGGAAGAATGGAGGAGAAGGGATTGTGGCGTGGCCATCCCCACTGGAGGGTAATTTCTTGCTTTCTGTCTCTCTCTGTCTTTATGGAGAGCACACATGCCCTATAGCTAGCTAGCAAAAAAAACTTCTCCGAGAAAAAAAAAAAACTCATCTACATAGAAGTAACCAAAGGATTAATAAAAAAGATTGTCCTGATCAAAGTTGCTCAAACTCTGTAGCTAGGTCATTGTTTTCACTAAGAAAGATTCATGGAGGTGCATCATTAGCCTTGACCTGTAGTCAGAACAACTGCAGCGAGGCTGTTCTTAAGTGTTCATTGGCACATGCTGCCAGGGTAATGACTTGCGTCAGTGCTCAGCTCTCTGTGCAGAGATGTGTGGGACCTTGTCAGGCTTATCATCAGCAACAACTGGGAAGTAGGAATTATGATACAATGGAAAGATAACTCCATTGTAGCCACAGCAGCCAAAGGAAAAAGGTGAAAAGAGAAAGGTTAGTGATGGAAGAGGCAGTTTGAGTGGTTTCAGTTACAGACCTATATAAGACTGAGTCAGCGACTGAAATTGTGTTCAGCAGAACCTGAGTGATCTTAAGGAGAGGCTCTCACAATTCAATCAATAGTTGGTGCTGTTGTGAAAGAGATTTAA